CTCTCCGTCTGGCGGGAGGCTCTGGGTGGTACACGGCCTGGGAAGGGGGAGGCCTTGTCAAGCGGCTCCGAGCTGGCCTGTGGGCTCCGAGCTCCTCGCCTTAACTTTCCGCTCCCCCTTTCATCTTCTGCTTTCCTAGTTCATTACCGTTTTGATTTTTGTCTGTCTTGTCTTAAGAAAATTACTTTTAAACGCAGGTAGCACGCTGTAACTGGAAGCGTGTCTTATCGGGGCGATTTAACGAATACTGTGTGCAGGGGCACAGTTAGTTACTAACGGATGAGTAGCTGTGAGGTGTCACAGAGAGGACAATACTCACTGCGCGTGTTAGAATTGCAATAAGGGAGCCAGGTGTTACTGTTAGTACACATCAGCACAGAACCGTATGAAGTTTGTCAGGTAGTGTATCGGAAAGAGTCCATGGTGCTGGTTTAGAGAAGATATCACTGAATGGGCCAGAGAGCTTACTGCTTGTTAAAGCTTGAGTGCTGTAAATGTATGTTAAGACGTGTCCGTGTACATCAGCTGAGGATTTAGTTCAAGGTCCAAAGGTCTGCTTTCATTTTGGAAAATAACAGCTTGCTTTCTTGAGGTAGTTCTGTGATTTATTGATGATGCTTTCTAAGGCATTGTAAAACAAGAGATAGACAGTTAGTTAGTTGCTGTAATCCTCCAAATTATGTGTCTGTGCTTTTCTCCGGGAGTACCTTTCACAGGCAGAAAAAGTGAGGCTTGAGCTGCTACCGTGTTCTTCCCAGCTGATGTCAAACTTACTGTGCTTCATAAGCTCTGGCCTGGCCTTTTTTGCTTGATTACTTTTAATTTATATGGTAGCTGTCATTTCCTGTAGATCAAATTATTTTAAAACCAAACCTTAAAAAAAGCAATACTTCACATGCCTGTTCTACTGATGTATTGGCCCAGCACTGCGCGAAATAAATTTAAGGCAGATCTGCCGTTCTTACCTGAGTTCTTTTCTCCTGTTTGGCCTGTAACTCACTCTGCTGTTTCTTCTGTGGGATAAACTTGGTGCAGGACACTGGACTCTGTTAGCATCCAGCATCCCTCCTCTGTGTCGGGAAGGTGTTATTTCCCTTGACCGCGTTCTTACTTGTATGACTTCTGGAAATTTTTTCATCTCAGCTATTAGGTATTTTAGTAATTCTTCTCATTTACATTAAAACCAAATAGAACTGAAAGTAAAGAAAAAAGACTGCAAACTTAAAACTATTAATCAGTGGGAAACATTCTGAATGGAGGAAAGCTATATGTAAAATAAAACATGATTTCCATATTAGTTTAGTAAGTAAGCAGTTTTAGTAAGTCTAAATCTGCTTATGTTGGAAGGAGAATGTCTGCCTGAACTTGCATTAAATGGGTAAGGTAGCTTGAGTTCTGCCTGTTTCAGCTAGGGCATTTAATTTTTTGTGTAACTGTCAGGTTCTGAGTTCCAGTGAGCAAACATACAGATATAAGGTCTACTCCAGATGTGCATGTTGCAAACTGATCAATGACATGTAGAAGAACTTGCAGTAATGCCTGGCAGGACTCAAGTGCAGAGCTGATCCTAAACATTACTACAGTCAGAGTCATCCCTGGAAGTCTGAAAAACTTTTCTGGCTAACTCATTTTAGACAATTCTAAAACACTGTTCGAGATCTCTTATCACAAAGTACCAGCTTAGGTTAGCAGAATTAGATTCCTTTTTCTCTTGTATTTGGAAGAAGCTGTAGCCAAACAGTTGTCTGCTGGAACTTATGTTAATTTTTTTTTCTACCTGATTGTGATTACCTCTTGCACACTTGAGTTATGTTATTGTAAGTTCTTGAAATGCCACTGTTTCAGTATTAATTGGCAAGGATTGATTAGCATAATGGTCTTTTATTTGGGAGTTTTTATAGAACGTGTTAGCCATACTCAGTTCTGCTATATTAAATTACGATGAACTAAATGTTCAAAGGTATTTGAAAGTATAAGTCTAGGCAGTCAGTTGAGACATCAGTGTAAAACTTCACCACCCCCCAATCACCTGCTGTTTGTCTCTGCAAGCATCTGCATTCTTTAGCTGATAGCACTGTTTCTCATGTGCATGTCCCATGAACCCCAGATTTAACTACCAAATAACCTAATTCCTAAGTCGAGCAATGACACTGGTTGTTCTTTCATCTGCTCACTGTTCTGGCAGGCAAATTACATGCAAAAATACTTCAGACTTACAAGGTTGCATCTCTTTGCTATTGTGCAATCTTTTCCTGCCAAATATTTGATTTGCAATGGTACAGCACTTCTACGCCTGTGAGAATATCCACATAACACTGAATTTACTGTCAAAATCATGAAAGCAGAAACACAGCATGTCTGTTCCAACAAAACTTTTTTCTTTTGGTCTGGGACTAGATAATTCAGTTTCTACTGACCTCCTGCCTTTCTTACAGAGGAAGAATGCTAATTTGTAACTGTTCTCAGCATTATCAATAGTTTCTCTGAGTATGCTTTAATTTCAAGATGTAAGTTGTTTCTTGTTACACCTACCTTTCTGTGGTTTGCCATGAGTTTGCCAATGTTGCTGTGAAGGAAGAAAATTAAAACTTGTACCTTAAGGAAATGTAGAAATTTAGTTTGAGTCTTTGCTACCTGGATTTAACTTTGCATTCTATTCATGAAAGAGTGATTTTTTTTTTTTTTTTAGTAACTTTATTTGGATACAAGGCTGACCATGCCATCTTAGAAGAGTAATGAACTAAGATGATCACACAAGAAAAGAACAATTCCATTCTAGTTGTGAAACTAATTGGACTCTTAATTTCCTTTCTAACTTTGTCGTCTTTGTCTCATTTTATTTTTTTAAGGTAGTCCTCAGACAGTTCATCACATTCACCTGAATCCAGGAAATTCTGACAGTAATACTTACCAGAGTATTCAGCAGATGAGAAATGCGATGGAAAAAGAGATAAAGAGTGAGAGAACAAGAGGAAATGGTAGAGAATTAGCATTCACCCTCATGCCATTGTATGCTCTTGGAGTGGGAGTGTTTGCAGCGTACAAATTTCTTAAGGTAAGCCATAAGAAAAACATTAAATTATTGAAATTAGAAGGAAATGTAACTGGTCTGATTTTTTTTTTTCCAATTCTGAGCCCATGTATATGTTTGTCCAAAAGCCATTTCTTTTTTTCAATGTGAGCTCCAAAGTTAGAATTATAGCATATCTGATTCTGACTTACCTTTTTTTTTTTTTTTAGACGATTAAAGAAGTGAGAATCTTACACTCTGCCTTCCTCCCTCCCTGCCTCCCCTTCCCCCCCCCGCAAGAATCTGAGAACCTAAACAGTGCTGTTACCTGAAGCTGTAACTTAAGCCTTATCAGTATTTCACTTCCTTTTCATTCTTGAGAGTGAGATTGAGTATGGGAGGGAGATGGAGGACTCCTGCAGAGTAATAGTCTTAGATTAGCAATTAGATAGAATAGCCAGTAGTCTAGAGCTTTTATTTGAACTTCTCATTTGGTCATGCAGCTGCAACATAGACTTTCATCCATGAAATGTGATACCTTTTCTACCATCAGGTAATTAAGAAAGGAGAACACATGATCATTTGTGTTGGTTTTTGGTTTTTGTTTTTCTTTTTTTTTAATATCAGTCTTGATATGTATTATATATAGTAGGACATATTACAGCATTTGCAATTCTGAGAGTGCACCTGGTACATTGTTGCTTACCTTCAGGGAAAAAAATAAATTTAACCTGAACAGGACTGGAGACAGCATCTTCATTTCCATAGTCAGTTTCCTGTCATCTCCTACGTGAGAAATATACAACAGCATAGCAAAATGAGCATAGAGGCTAGCCAGTTTGGTTTTAAAAATAAATTTAATTAGGTTGTAAATAAGATTTAAAAATGATAAAAACAATACTTCAGGTGTTACAACTCTTGACACTTGGTGCTTGTGGGATTGAAGTGTAAATGTTTTTATAATAGCATCTTTATTACTTTAAGAAAGAAGTTTTACCTCCTAATTAATAGTAGCAGACTGGATCCAGTAACCTAGAAGGTTCCTTCTGTTCATTTTTGAAAACTGGAGTTGAAATAGCAACTGCTTTCTTTCACAGCTTTTGTCAGTCATGTTGACATTGCTTAAAATCAGAAGTGTTAGTTTAAGATGAGAAGAAGGCATGGAAGAAAAAAAGTTTCATTAAGGGAGCACATTTTTGTGGTTGCTATTTAATTTCAGTAAATTCTAAATGCATTTTTATTTTTAATATACAAATAGTGATGAAGTCTTTTAACATGTTTGTATTTATTAAAGATGAAGTCACATGAAGAAAGTCTCTCCAAAAAGGAAAAAAATACAGAAGACAAGGCAAAGGAAACAGGTACTATACCCATTCAGAATGCATGTGTTCACCAAAAATGCGCATTTCCTGCTGGAACAAGCTACATATTTTCATTGATGCAGTCTAGCTAAATGAGAACAATCTTTTAAGTTACTTACGTGCAGTTAGAAGCCTACAAAAAAGCACTGGTATTCTGTATATTTGAAACACTTGTTAGAGGTTTGTTGGAAAACTCCAGGTGGTAATATTCTTTAAAACAGCCATAGTAATACAGTATGGTTCTCTGCCATTTAATGTCTGATGTTTTTCTCACTTAAGACCTGTTTGATTTTCTTTGGTACAATAGGATGTTTAAATAGGATATAATACTCTTCAGAATTAATAGGGCATTTAAAAAGGATATAATGGTCTGCTTTAGAATTGAACTGTGTTGATAGTGGAACAGTATAGATAACCAGTTATAGAGACTGTTGAATTTCTGGGCTAGATTAGGGACCTGTTAAAAACATTAACTGTTCATAGAAGAGACAGAATAAATGATACCATATTTTTCTTCATCATACAGAGTACTGTTGACTCTCTGATTCAGTCTATTCTGCACGTGCCGAGGAATGGGCTTTCCTTTGGAGAAAAAGTTGTGGCACATCAAAGTTGAGCTGTTTTCATACTTTTTTTTTTTGCCCCTTGTATAGAAACATTCTAGTTAATTAAATAACTAGCAGCCTATTTTGGTGTCTCTGTACACCAGATCTGTAATCAGGTTCAAAAATGATTTACTACACTGCCTACTCCCCAGCCTTGTGTGTTGCATTCTTCTTTCTTCAAAGTTTAATAGTGTTTTAGGGGGAGTTATGCCTCTCAACTCTAGTGCGTTGTGTCACATAAATATATGTGAGGTGTGAGTGGGCAAATTCATGACAGCATATTAAGTATAAACACACTACTTACACCTCAGGAAGTCTTGGAACTGCATCGGTTTTTGAGCCTGGTAAGGTGAGTGCTGCATTCTCACTCAGTTTCTACCAAGGTGTCCCCTGTTTGGTCACTATTGGAGACAGGTTATTGGATGAGAAGGACTTCTGGTCACACATAGCAAGGCTTCCATTTTTACCCCCACCTCTCCCTTTTCATATTCTAGAATTTTATATAAAAAAAAAACTTCCTATTTTTGAATTTGCCCAACCAAAAATATAAATTAATATCCTTTTGGTATTGTAAGTAGATTTCTTACAATGTTCTTTCTCTCCTGTCCACCCCCCTCTCTCCTCCTCCCTCTTTTTGCTTTTATTTTTTGTTAGAGCATCAGCTTTTAGAACTGGAGCAGCATCTAGCACAGACAGAGAAAATGTTGAATTCTTTATTGACTCAGTTGGATCCACTGTCAAACTGGTGAGTGTTTCTAAAACATCTCAGTTAGTGTTGTTTTCTGTAAATTGAATGTTTCCAAAATGTTAACAAACTGTTCTTAAACTGTTCCTTATATATAGGTAGGGAACAGCATTTAGGAACCTTCTTTAATTATTTATTGTTTCTGTAGCCTTTTGCAGGTAATCTCTTCTGCAATTTGCTATCTTTTCCACAGACACCTCCCATCTCTTGTTCACCAAACATAAATGCAAAAGCTCAGACTTACGATCACGTTACTGTGGCTTAGTCAACTTTAATATTGACCAATATTGACAAATACCGAAAAAATACTTAAGCTCAGTAGCATTTGAAGGCCCCTGTGGGAATTAGGTTTCTAGTAGAAGAAAGTTTCTTCCTTTTGGTATAATTAGAAGATAAAATTACTTATCAAGATATAACTGCTTATTTTTGTGTTTTGAAATGAGCCTGTTAAGTGATTGTGTGCATTTCAGGGAAATATAACTTCTCTGTTGTAGTGTAACAAGGGAATAAGTGAAGTAACCTTCTTGTAGTTTTAGAGATGTTATTTTCTTAAGAAGCTAGAGTCTTACCCATCTACTGGAAATAAAAATATCCATGCAGTCCATTTTGTGTAGACTGACATCCTTCATGAAGCCTAGTTTAAAACATGCAGAATTTCATGATTTGTTCTCTTAGTGTACTTCTGAACTTAAAATGTGCTGAAACTTAATAGTTTATTAAGCAGCAAATTCACTAACCAATTTGCCTAACAAATTTCTAGTAGTGATGGGGAGGAGAGAGAGTAAACAACATCTGAAATAAATGGGAAAAGCCTCTAAACTATGCAGTTCTGTATTAGGCATTGTTGCACTAAAAATAAAATTACTTTGGATAATTGTTTCTCTCAGTAGTCAGTACTCAAGCCTGGCCATTGGGGCTCCAATGTTAGAATTCAGTGACTAGATAGATCAGTAGGTGTTTGTGATGGGCTCCCCACTTCTCAAGAGACAGTTCTCAAAGAAAAGCTTGACCTAAACATGTTGCTAACTTCACTGTGGTATTTATCCACGGAAGGAAATATTGCAATCTTGTGCATTATGATTAAGCACTTACCTTCAAGGTAATCTTTCAGCTGTTGACATCCTTTTTTTTTTTCCCTAGTGTTAATGCTTTAGCTTGTGAGCAGAAAGATGAAATAATGACACAGCTCCAATCAATTAGACGACTGATGAAAGAAAGTGGATTGGATAAATCAGAAAACACGATGAAAGGTACTTAGATTTCCAGCGGGATAGATAACTAAGTAGTTTATATTTTAAAAGAATAAACAGATCTTACTATAATAATGTTCAGCTCCTACATCTTGGGTAATGTGGGTGGAATTAATTTTATTCTGGAGCAGTACCATTCTTCCTGTTTGAGGTGTATGTAATTTCAAATTTTTGATACATTAGGATTTTTTTTGAAGAATAAGTGCTAAAGGACATTGAACCGGGATAGACCACACAGTCACTTTCTGCTTTGTTAAAATGGGTTTATGAATTTGACTTCCTGACCAGTCTGTTAGTATTGGACTAACTAGTCTGAGGATTCCCAGATGGGGACTCTGAGGCTGTGGGTAGTGCTTGCATAGTATACTAAACAGTAAATTGTATATTAGTTTCAACTGGAGACTTCCAGGAGGTGTGTAATAGTCCAAGAGAAATCTTATATGTTAAGAATGGTTTGCTAGAAATTTGGGGAATTTTTGCATTAGTTGAGTCTTCATAAAAGAGAAATAAGAAATAAAAAATATTCAACTTCTAAACTGACCTTGAAATTTGGAGCCTTTCTAGTAATTTAAACTTTTATTTTGACTTTTTTTTTTGTGAACTATAAGATGTCAGCCACATTTGTAATGAGAAACTTGAAGATCTCATTCAGTCATTTGCTGAACATTCTCAAGAGAAAGAAATGGATGACAGAGAAGATGACAGTAATGAAGATTTTCTTGAGGATGTTGATAATGATGACAAAATAGAAGAGCATGAATTATATGATGAATGTGAAGTACATCATTTTGAGCCACATGTGGTCAAAGACCAAGAAATGATGAACGAAGATGTCATTGAATCAGAAGAGCTGGGATTGAGGAGACGTAATAGATATGAATGAAATCTGCATATGTAAAACTTTCAAAAGCATATGAATTATTTTTTTTATAATGTTGTATGCACTTTAAACTGTTTTGAATGAAGTTTATGTGCACTGCTATATGCTTTAAAAAGAGGGGTGAAATACTGCCTGTGCTCATATCTGTGATGGTTCTGTAACTGACTTCAGTGGCAGGAGAATTTCACTTGGGATGTTTACATTTTTTTTCTATTTATTTTTCTCCTATAAAAATATTTCTGTACTCTGTATATAATGCACTGTAATTATATCTGATGCTTCACTAAAATATTAGAATATCTTATAATTAAGACTATAAAAAGTAGATGTTTCATAAATGTTTTGTAACTAGTAAGCATGGTGCCACTTGAACTGAGATTTTCTTGAGTTCATTAAAGAGCATGCACTGATGAGTTTAGTTCTTTGTGGAAAACTTCTCTATGGGGGGAATGAAAAGCAGTATGGGTTAAGTCTTAGAGGTGCATTCATAGTCCAGTTTCATAGAATCATAGAATGGTTTGGGTTGGAAGGGACCTTAAAGATCATCTAGTTCCAACCCCCCTGCTGTGGGAAGGGACACCCTCCACTAGACCACGTTGCCCAAAGCCCCATCCAACCTGGCCTTGAACACTTCCAGGGATGGGGCCTCCACAACCTCTCTGGGCAACCTGTTCCAGTGCCTCACCACTCTAACAGTAAAGAATTTCCTTCTAACATCTAATCTAAATCGACCCTCCTTCAGCTTAAACCCATTACCCCTTGTCCTGTCACTACACTCCCTCATAAACAGTTCCTCTCCATCTTTCCTGTAGGCCCCCTTCAGGTACTGGAAAGCTGCAATTAGATCTCCCCAGAGCCGCCTTTTCTCCAGGCTGAACAACCCCAACTCTCTCAGCCTGTCCTCATAGGAGAGGTGCTCCATCCCTCTGATCAGCTTCATGGCCCTCCTCTGGACTCACTCCAACAGCTCCGTGTCTCTCTTGTACTGGGGACCCCAGAGCTGGATGCAGTACTCCAGGTGGGGTCTCACAAGAGCAGAGTAGAGGACGTTCATTTTAAAATAATTTATGTCTGAGTTCGCTGTCTCCTCAGGAATGATGTATAGTTTTCTATGTCAGTAACCTTAATGCATTACACTGGAGCACTTGGTTACTTCCCTACCTGTCACTGGTTAAACTCAGCAGTTGCCTAATAATTGATCAATACCCATTAGTACTTTATGCACTATATTGCTGGTTTGTATTTATTTTAACACAATAGAATCTGGCCTTTCGATTAATTGTAATACACTTTTTCTTACATCGGTGTTACCAGATGTATTGCTATGTGTCATTCAAGAACTGTTCAAGAACTTTTCAATACGTTATGGCAATTTGATAGTGACTTTTTAGTTGAATATTAAGCATTTTTTCCTTTGCCAGAATAATTTTTGTCCATATCTTTATTTTCTATTAATTTGTAGATTTGTTTTTAGGGAGGAAATGTACTGTAGTTAAAGGGACCAAAACTATTACTGTCTCACTCACTGAAACGGAATGAATTGTTCATTCCTGTGTAGAAACATGGTACATCTTTGGTTCTAAAAATGCATCACACAGGCTTGGAAGTAGCAGCATCCAGAAATACATCCTTAGCGTCTGTGTATTATTAGTTTTGCAATAAGTGAGATTTTGCTTAACTTTGGAAAACTGATTGACCAAAAAGCCAGGGTTTCTCAAAAGGGGACAGATTTTTTTCCAACAGAATGGATGAATCGGAATTTTAAAAATAACTGATGTAGATGTGGTCATTCAGGACAACTGGAACTGTTTAAAAAGATTGCATAGAGGCAGTCCTCTGAGATGACTAATAAGGCTAATCAAAATGAACTGATCAGAGGAAGTGAAGGAATGGGAATCGAGTGTGCTGCACTGCTGTGGCGTTTGCTGTTGGTGGCTCCATCGCTCGCTCAGCTGTGAGAGCTGATGTGGCAGCAGGTCAGTGTTGCTGCCTTCCAGGCGCTGCCACTGTTGCTGGTGACCTCCTTACCTGCAGCATTTCAGTTCCTTGGGCAGTGTTTGAATCATCAGTGCTGTGGCTTTCACTAGTCTTTGGATGCTGCTGCTGGAAGCCTTTGTCCATACAGCTTTTGAGCTACTTTGAAGTACTTGCTGTATTTCTAACCTAGGGCTACAGGCTTTCACTGTGAGCCCTTTTGCTGCTATTTTGAAGTCTGATTCCAGCTGCCTGAGTTTGTTAAGGACACAAAGCTGTGCGACGCATAAGTGCCCGGCTTTTCTAGCAGGTGGCTGTGGGGGCTGCAGAGAAAGCTGGAGAGGGGCTGTTTACAAGGGCATGACCTGAAGGACAAGGGGTAATGGCTTTAAACTGAAAGAGGGTAGATTGAGATTAGCTATCAGGAAGAAATTCTTCACTGTGAGGGTGGTGAGGCACTGGAACAGGTTGCCCAGAGAGATTGTGGATGCCCCATCCCTGGCCAGGTTTGATGGGGCTTTGGGCAGCCTGGTCTAGTGGAGGGTGTCCCTGCCCACGGCAGGGGGACTGGAACTAGATGATCTTTGAGGTCCCTTCCAACCCAAACCGTTCTGCAAAAACAGAGCACTGGCTGGCAGACTTGCAGGTAAGGGCAGGGAGGGATGTTCAAGCAGGCAGCCGTACCCAGAGGAGGGTGTTTCCTCACGAGTGATAGGGAATTCGTCTTCCCCGCTCAGCTGAGGTAGTATCTCGCGAAACTTTCGTGAGACGCCTGGCTCACATTGGTCCCTCCGCGCCGCTGTATCTGGCAAGGCCCCGAGGCGGCCGCCCGCTCGCAGGCGGAGGCAG